ATATAGAATGGATGGGATGTATAGAATAGATGGGATGTATAGAATGGATGGGATGTATAGAATGGATGGGATGTATAGAGTGGATGGGATGTATAGAATAGATGGGATGTATAGAATGGATGGGACGTATAAAATGGATGGGACGTATAGAATGGATGGGACATATAGAATGGATGGGATGTATAGAATGGATGGGACGTATAGAATGGATGGCATATATAGAATGGATAGGATGTATAGAATGGATGGGATGTACAAAATGGATGGGAAGGGATAAGATGGGATGGCATGGGGTGGATGGCATGGGATGGGGTGGGATGGGATGGGATGAATAAACAAAGTATTGAGTAGAAGGGCCAAAAGGACCAATTGATAAGTTACACACCTCATATTTAAAGTTGAAAATCAGCATTATGGAGATGAAAATACTAGCGGCTAAACACAATGCCTGACCCAAGTTAAATATAACTGAAACATAACAAGAAAATGATAATTGTTGTTATTACAGTTGCGCTGGCAATGAGATATTCTTTTGTTTTAAGAATCATACAAGAGAGGCTATCGGGCCAATACAGTGCTTGTTGTCTCATTTGCATCTCATTTGCATGCATCCATAATAACTGTTATATCTAAGTGTCATCTATAACCAAAATAAATTTTCAACACTTTTGAAAGCCAATTATCTGGTTCGTTTCATCCAATCATGTTCAAATTTGCCAAACTCACTAATCTTGAGATGCTTTCTCAAATAGACCTAATTCGTTGCATTACAATTGTTTCCCCATTTCAGAACATGTTTCCTTCCCAAGAGAATAAAGATTAGTTTATTTGTTTTGTTTTGCCTTGTCATGCGAAACTGAAACAAGTGCAACTGTTAAACAAAGAAATGACACTCTTGGGAATGACACATGGTCTGAAAAGGGAAAGCATCGTAATGCAACAAATTAGGTCAAATGAAAAAAAAAATTTTTTTCTAATAACATTAAAATTCGAAACTTTCCCTAGTTACTTACAAGTTTCTAAAGTGGCCAATAAATGATTCAATCATTTTGCAGCATACCATAATCAAAGTTTTTAGACAAGCATGAACAAATTTTGAAAGACAAATTAAACATCTTATCAAGCCTTGGTAAAAACCTTTTACTGGGAAGCATTACATTAGGGAAAATGAAATAAATTTCCATCTTACTTGACCACCACATCAACTCTTTTTGTCTCATACAACTTGTTGACTCTTGATCACACAAATATTGCTGAAAAAATAATAATTTAGGATCAAAAAATAATGTTTTGTTTGTTATGGATCAATGAAATGATGAAATGAAATTAAACGAAAGAATGAATGAATGGAAGGATGGATGGATGGATGGATGGATGGAAAGATGGATGGATGAACGAATGAACATAAAAGAATGGTTTATCGTGGTTTAAATGTATGAATATAGGAAAGAACACATAAACAAACAAATAAGCAAATGATGCACGTAGAACAAACGGCTTACCAACCTAACAAATGAGTGAATGAATAGACAAATGAATGGAGGAATATCTGGAGGGATAAGAAGGGATGAATAGATGGGATGGATGAATGAAWAGATGGATGGGTGCATGAATGAATATATCGGTAAATGAATACATGGATTGCTGAATGAATGAATGGAGGAAGGGAAGGTTGGACAGGTTGAAAGAAAGATTAATAGATGGACAGTTGGATGGAGGAGCACACAGTCTCGACAAAAATAAATTCTAGCCCCACGGTATGCATACTGACTTACCATTGCTTCAAAAACTAGATATATTCCCAATAAAAGTGATGCAGTCAGGTTCATCAGGGCACCAACAGAAAAAAAGATCATGAAGTGGCTTTTACTAAGAAAAACAAAAATAAGAAACTGCAATCAGAGGAGTAAATGTTAACCTAAGTAACTATAGTAACATTTAGAACTGTTACAGGCATGAGATGTCAAGCAGGAGGTGGCTACCAATGGATAAATAAAATTTACACATGCTGTTTGCAGTAGATCCCTTATGTGTGATGCCTCGCATAGGTAACCGGTCGTTTCGCTACCACACACTTTCGCTACCAGCATGAAGTCCTTTCGCTACCATTGGAAATTACCAAAACAAAACTTCGATGAGACTTGTTAAAAAGAAACATAGTCTCTTGAAAGACATTTGTATATGATTTTGAAGCATATTTGGAGCAATCATTTCACGATACGATCAGTGAAAGTGGAGATCTAAACGTGACCAAGGACAGCATTTACTTAGCTACCATATCGAGTCCGTTTCCTCGCATAGCGAAGTACTACTTGACTTCTCTTAACTTAATTTACACAGCACAGCAAGCTCTCCTCAAAATTAATATGTTCAAAATGCCCTTCAAAGTGCCATTTAATGCTAAATAATACTAAAGAATTGCACACTATTAGCATTAAATTTCTACTCTATGAGTTTCTAAATAGCTGGATGGTATTTTGTCATTGCTAATGGATGTACATGTAGGCTTAATGTTAATTTCATATATGGCACTGCGAAAGCTGATGAATGATGATGAATGGATCAAGGGCGTAGGCAGTTGGGTGAGTGGGCCACATCCCCCCCCCCCCCCCCCCTTCATGACAAGAAAATGGCGGCTTTCTTAGAATATATACACCTCCTCCCCCTTTGTTGGCAATAGAATGCCGACTTTTTTTGGTTAGGTGTTCCAGGGCCCAAATAAAATGGCGGACTTTTTAATTTGGTCCCCCTCCCCTTCGGAAAATCCTAGCTATGCCTCTGTGGATGTAGTAAACCTATGGGTACTGAGGTAAGTTTCACTTACTTCATGCCATACTTCCCAACAAAGCCTCCAAGTCTTGTGTAATTAGGGCAGTAAAGAAACCCAAAGATCATCAAAAGACCTAAAGATGTGGAAGAAATGTAAGTCAGTATAATCACAGGAAAATTTTGAATCAAAAAACCCAAGAAATTCCATAAACAAGGTATAATATGCTAATTTCCATACCCTGGAAATTTGAAAAAAGGTTCCCACCCCCAATCCTAGAATTACCAATTTTATTTGGGCAATACATACAATCCTTGCACTTTTGTTTTCCCTGACCGCCCACCCCCTGACAATTTCCGATCTCCTGGATGGTGGGGTATGGACATTTTTTGAAACCACACAATGGGGACCTTATGAGCTGCAGTATGGCAATGTCGTTTAGAGAGTTAACTTAGATATATATGTTATATGTTATGTTATGACTCCCCACCCCTTGGGAATTTCAAATTTCCTGGATGGTGGGGTATGGATATTTTCTGGAACCACACAATAGGGACCTTATAAGCTGCAGAATGGCAAAGTCATTTAGAGAGTTAACTTAATTTATATTATGCATTATTATAATAATATCGTATCATCATTCTATACTCCCATATAAGAAACTACACATATAATATTATTTTAAACTCCTCTTTCCTGTGCAAATTAAAGATTAATTTGGATCGTTTCCATTCACATTCTTTTGAAAGAAAACTATGACTTAAGGAATCAGACTAGTATAGCTTGGGATGATATAAATAATCTGCAATAGGACTATAATATGTCTGTCCAATTTGGATTAACTAAATTCAAAAAATTCCTCTGACTGCTAAATTGGACTCTGCCTATCGGCCTCTTCCAATTTTGTCAGTCCCCAGAATCTTTTTTCATCCAATTTTATTTCCAAATGGGACAGCATGTAGTCCTACTATCTATACTAATCAGCCCAGGTGAACCTAAAAGAAGAATTTCAAAAAAAAGCAATTCACCTACCTGACCACACAGATGAGTATGGATATGAAGTAGTGGCAGCTAAAATTGTAGCTAGGAAATGTATCCAAAGCAGAATCTGGGGAAAAAGTAAGTCCTTGATTACTGACAGTAAATGAATGAAAATAAACATTTCTATAGTAAAAACTAATCAAAGGTACGATGTAGCTCAAAAGAGTTAAATCCAAGCTTGGAACTGCAAAAAAGTTATTCAAGGTCACATTGCTGTACAGACGCACTACCCAGGACCGCTTGAAGAAAGTTAACCAATCACAACATAGAGTGAAAATAAAGGATCAAACTTAAGTCAAACTTGAACCAATCAGGAACAAGCAACGAAGCCTAGAAAACTTAGAAAAAATTTAAATGTTACCAACAACTGTGGGAATGAGTGATGGCTCAGGTCAATTTTATGTTACTGATTTTCCTGATTGGCTAGTATTTTTCATCTTAAATCTTGCTTAATTTGTCAATTTAAGTGTGTCCACATGGTACAGTAACAAGAGTCAGAAATGAAAAGTTTATCTTGTGGTGTTCCACAGAGATCTTCATTGGGCCCATTCCTTTTTCTTAATCTACATCTACATTAATGATGTTGATGAAAATTTTTTATTCATAAAAATTATCCATAATTGCAATGCTTTAAAGTTTTGAATGAAATATTTCATCTGCATACAAAACAAGCAAACTGCATACTTCTAATTTAATAATAATCAAAATAACATGCATTTAAGCTACTTTTCCATCCATGTACATGTAGGCTTGAACCCATGCTGACCTCACTAATGACAGACCCGTGCCCAAACAACTGAGCTAGCCTTGGGAGGCATTAACAGATGCTAAGATAATGTGCTTACCTTGAAGTCCATAAGCAACTGTTCTCGTTTAGTAAAAATGGATATTTCTTTATGGAGGGCCTTCTGCACATCATCAGGCTGTTTTTGGCTATTATCTGGTTTAGCGCTTGTTGGCATGAAGTCATGGACATCATCATCATCATTGTTCATGGAACTAGCTCTTGAGCCATGTAGATTTACTGTAGACTAAAAAGAAAAGTAAACAAGATACACTTTAAATTTGGATTTGTGGATTACCACATAAAGTTTAAACATTTTAATGTGATTACTAAAACAATTAATCAAAGGTAACAGGGAGATCTTTGAGTGGTGGTTTGTTGTCATTACTATCACATCATTATGGCATACAGTACGCATGTTTGCTTTGTCCTCGTGGTTGCTTGAGGAATTTGCTGTTTGCCATATTGCTTGGTTTGCTCAATCACGCTAGCCAATTATTCCAGACCTTTTTTGCTCCCTTCATCCCACCTCCTCTTCACAGTACTTGGTCTACTGGTATGTACAGTATCTAACATGTGTGACAGGTGCCGAGATGACATGTGACTTAGTTACCATGGAGATCTGATATTTGAAGAAGGAGGAAACTGGAGAACTCTGAGAAAAAAACCTCAAAGCACAGGAGAGAACCAACAAGCAACTCTACTCACACACGACAGTACTGTTCCCTGGAATAGAACCCAAGTTGTATTGGTAAAAAGTGACACATTAGCAACACACACCACCTACAGTTTCCAAACTTTGGAATATGTTGAACGTTGGATTTTGAAAAGGCTGTTGTCTCGATATTCACTCTATTACATTCCTATATTATACATGGAATCCAAATATGGCAACCAATTTGAATAAATATTGTTCTGCACTGACTAGCAACTGACTAACCTCATGTTCACGTGGAAACATAAGCGTTTTTACAAGTATGAGAGGCTAGTCAGTGCCGAACAATAGCTATTTAAATTGGGTCCCAATATTTTAATTCGGTATAATTATGTATTATGATGAGGCAAAATTTGAATAAAAAGTTCTTACATTTCCAGCTCCTTTTCGTCTTTTGCTCATTGGAACCATCTTGATAACAGAATTATCCAGTATTCTGTAATCCTGAAAAAATAACCAGCAAATTAATATTAATTTGGGTTTAAAAACAAAAATAGACCCATTATCATGGGTGTAAGTTTTTCCCATTTTAGACATTGTTATTCTCATGAGGAACCATTAAACAAAGGCATGATACTCTAGAGAATAACATGTGGTCTGTAATGGGAGAACATTACGCCAAAGTCATATATATAAGGGGTCTATTTTTTTATTCTTTTTTTATGGATTGTTTATAATAAGAAATACACAAAAGAGAGAAATATGGTGACCAATTTGAATATTCATCATTCTCAACTGACTAGCCTCATGTTCACATAGAAACATAAAAACGTATTCCCATGTAAGAGAGGCTAGTCAGTCCAGAGCAATAGTTATTCAAATTGTTCGGCATACTTCTATTTGGTGTGTAGTATATTACCTCAAATGTGTATGCATCTCTGAGATATTCCCCCTTGAACCTGAACCTAAACTGATGTTCTTCTCTTCCTAATTCATAGAGGATGTGTAGCATCTGAGCCCTGGCTCTAGCAATGGTATCATGTAAGTTACATACCAAGGTGAAGGTCTTGTTCTGAAAAGAAAGAAAGAAAGATTACCATATCATGTTAATAATAATTTATTTTTATTCAAAGGACATGAAGCGAGCCCCCCTTAGACTGCATTTTTGTCTGTTCATTATTAGATTTTTGGTTGTTTCAATCTTCTGTTAAAGAAATCAAAAATAAATCTGAGTAAAAGGCCTTGCTGTGGCTCAGATGACCACATAAAATGGCAGCCCTGTCTTACTTAAACTGACGGCAGTAAAATACTAATTTCACAACGAGCCGTTGAAATGTCTGAGTTTGCAGAATATGGAAAATTGCAGAAATGGTCAGTGACAGCTCCACTCAGTACAAACACTCATCTCTTTGATCATCTTATTTATATACATGGCATTAGTATCTAAGGTAGACCAGTATACATACCTTGATTGCCTAGCTCAGAAAATGCCTTGGTCTTTGCGGTTTTTTGCATTGGTGTGTGTGTGTGTAGGGGGGG